CCCGTGATTGTGTGCATAAACTGTCACGTGCAGCTTACTGGAGAGGTGGCCTATTGTATTCCAGGCTTTCCTCACAAGGAAGCCTTGCTGAGGATGACCTTGACCTTCTGAGCTTCCCTTCACCAGGTGTTGTGCTTACAGGCCCAGTTCACCTGGTGAGGAAGATCAGACTCAGGGCTTCCCACGCACTAGGCAAGCTGTCTACCAGCTGAATTGTTCCCTTAGCTTCTATCCTGTTCATTTTATCATTAAAAAAAAGAAACCCAAATTCCAACATGTTGGCAAACACTTGTAATCCTAGTACTGGCAATTCCAACCCTTGGGAGGCAGTAGGAGGAGTCCAAGTTCATCTTTGCTAAAGGATGGGTTAAAGGCTAGCCTTCATGATTGAGAATTTGAATTAAAAATATCAAAAACCCAAGAGCATTTACTATGCTATCGATCTTGCTTCTTTCCATTAGTGTGAATGTGTGTGTGTGTGTGTGTGTGTGTGTGTGTTATCAAACTGTGGCTATATACAAATATGGACTTTTCAAGCCAGACATTCACGGCACATGCCTTGAATCCCAGCACTAGGCAGGCAAAGGTAGAGGATCTCTGTGTGCTCAAGGCCAGCCTGGTCTAAAAGAGTTAGTTCCAGGATAGGCCCCAAAGCTACAGAGAAACCCTGTATTGAAAACAAACAAACAAATATTATATAAAGAGACTTTTCTTTAAGTTGATAATAAAATATTTGATTATAATCCCATTTTGAGTGACCTTGGCATTAGGATATCAATCCATCCTGAGTGACATCTGACAATGGAAATTTTATTCCTTTTTACTAACTATTTATTTTTGTATTAATCTATTCACTTATTTTTTGAGACATGGTCTCATATATAATATAGCTCTGGCTGACCTGGAACTCACAGAAATCAGTGAATCCCTGTGTCCTGGTTGAGGGAGTAAAGGCATGTGCCACCAGGCCTGGATCTTTATTGTTGCTGTTACTAGTCTTTTCTGTGGGCCAACAATGGACACCAGGGTCTCTCTGCCACCGACCTCCAACTCCAGTCTCCCAAACTCGCTTTCTCGCTTTTGATTTGGAGGCAGATTCTTACCAAGTTGCTCACGGAGCCTAGATAGGCCTTAAGCTCGTGTTCTTCCGGCCTCAGCCTTTTAGAAATTAAGGTTCCAGGCCTGTACTTCCAGGCCAAGTGTGGACTTTGATAGTACCAGAAGCGGAAACCATGGTTTTGTGTTTTTACAAAGCACAGGGGGAGGACTGGATGTGTTGCGTCATGCCTGTAAATCCCAGCATTCTGAGGAGGAGGGTCTCTATCTAACCTGAGATAGAACATGTTCCAGGTTCAGTAAGACCCTACAAAAATAACTAAATAAATGAACAGAACAACCAGCCTACCAACAAACGCCACTGGTGGGTCATGAGGCAGGGGTTACAGCAAGGCAAAGAGACTTCTGGTCATAAGATGTTGCATTATTGCCTTCCCAGCCTCAGAGTGGGCGAAGCTGGCTGCATTCCAAGTTTTATCTAAAAGTGCATTGTTGAAGCTGAACTTAGTTGTCAAGGGCTATTCAAAGATGTAAGATACCTTGAGATAACCTGAGATAGAACCTTCAGCGTTCTATCCTTCCAGCATCAGGATGCCCTTCTGCTCAATCAGGGTCATAGTCTTGGGGGTCTTGAGCCTACTATGTCCATCTGCTTAGACACCAGCTGTGTAGACAGCGTCAGTTCACAGACTTAGTTCTGGGTTTCCAGCTGTCACCTTGCTTTCTTTTTCCTCATACCATTTCCACTGATGTCTCTGACATGGGAAGTCACTGGCCCTGCAGCTGTAAGGAACCAACCTGAGCTCTGACCTCTGTAGCTCTGACTTGGGATCACTGCCAGTGCCTTTGCATTTGTTTGACCTTGACTTTCAGGCCCTTCTTGTCTTTATGCTCTTCCTGCTCCTTGGGCTGATGCTGCCTGTGTATGGGCACCTCTGCTCTGTTGAGCTTTTGAAGGAAGGCCCTCCCCAGGAGGCCCCGGGGTCTTGGCTCAGCACATGAGCTCTCTTTCTCTCTCTCTCTCTCTCTCTCTCTCTCTCTCTCTCTCTCTCTCTCACACACACACACACACACACACACACACACACAAACAAAACAAAAACAAACAAAAAAAACCAACCAACAAAACAAACAAACAAAAACCCAGAAAAAGGATTCCCCATCAGCACAGGCATTCCCCAGAATACCTAGTTTAGCCTTCTGCCTTTCAACAAAAGGCAATGTGATCAATGAAACCAAAACAGTCCCTGCTGGGTTCAGAAGGCAGAGCAAACTGTGCTAGGTTCATTGATCATGTGGCCTTCTGCTATCTCTTCCGCAATGAATGTCTGCAAGACAATAAAGCATTGGTTTTGCTACCTTTTTAATATTATGACACTGTGATACAATACCTCATGTTGTGACCTTCCCCAAACTTAAAATTCTATCACTGCTGCTTCACAGGTGTAATTTTACTGTTTGTATGAATCAGTATAAAATTATATATGTAAGATATCTGATATGCGATCAATGTGAAAAGGTCCTTTGTCCCCAAAAGAGTTGCAACCCACAGGTTGAGA